ATAGATATATTCCTAAAAATTTTAAATTATATTTTAAGTTAATCGCTTATTTTATTATAAAGATTTAATATGTCCTTTCTACATGTACCTTTACTAACAGGGCTATATGCTGGACAAAAAACATTTTTAATCAATTAAGCAAAAAAAGGATTTTCAAATAAAGAAAGAGGAGAGTCCGTAGCAACTATGTATCTTGCCATTGACTCTCGTGCTTTGAGTGCATTGTATTGCTAGGCTGAGAGAGTTGAGAATTGTGAATTAAAATTAAATTGAGTTTGAATTTGCCTACCTGGTGCGATTGGAGTTGAACCAGACCTCAAGACTGCACAATAAATTGGGGGTGCTTCTTCTCCAGGTGCCTCCGCATTGTCAAAGTCTTGTGCTTAGCGTCGACAAGGTTGTACAAAAATTACATACCCCGCACGATTCTTCCCCCGCTCCATTTGGCTTTGCCTATTTTGATTTGGTGAAGTATTGTCATATCCTAGACACAAGCCTCTTTGACGATCTTACTGAGCCCGTGGTGTTGTAGCTAGCTTTTGTTTGGCTGCACGCAATTCTAGCCGTTTTTGGTTGGGGAATTGCTACCTCTAGAAAGTTTGAAAATGGATCAAACCCTTCCATTTTTTCGGTGAATGGAATGTAAAACTCATTTAAGGATGATCCTCTAAATGCATAATTTCGGGAATCCATTATGAATTTATGATAAAATAAAAAATAATTAAAATAAAAGAAACTGAATAATATAAATAATAATATGAATAATAGAAGAAATTGAATAATATAAACAATAATATGAATAAATGTAAATATAAATTGAATTGAAGAGAATTTGAGAATTAGAGTAGAGAGATTGAGAGATCGAGAGATCGAGAGTTGAGTTGTGAAGAAAATGGAGGTTTGGGGGGCAAAGGGTAAGAAAAAAGAACTTTCCCCGCATCATGACTATTGGCTGCTCAACGGTCAAATCAAGTTTTTTTTTTTTTGTAAAATATCATTTTAGCCCCTATTATGTCTATTTCATAAAAACTAGACGGTTTTTTTATATTTGTAGGGGGTTTTGAAAAAAGGGAGAAGGGTTTGGGCCCCGCCATGGGACGTTGGAGGAGGGCCCAACCCAAAGACTGATCCCTCCTCCTTTGGGCCAGTCCGGGTTTGGGCCCAGGCCTTATAAGACTGATCTTGAGTCTAGGTTTTTAGGTGGGTTAATTGGGCTCGGACCCAAATTCTCACCTCTAATGCTCGTTTCATGGTTTTCAAAGAAACACAATTCAATGGCTATTTTTACCACCACTACAAGAAAAACTCTGATTCTTGATAATTATTAACTATCAAGAAGGGGGTTCTTTGACAAGTTTTGAACTGTCAAGGAAGCCTCTATCACAAAAGAGCCTTGATAATTTCCGAACTGTCATGAATCTCTTAACATATTCTTGACAGGTTTTGAACTTTCAAAGATTTGATTTTGTTTTTTGAATTTTAACCAAATTCTTATCAGTCTTAAAACTGTCAAAATTGTTTTTCGTAAATTTTTTTTGGGTAAATTTTTTTGGTTTATTTTCCTTACTATTACCAATTAAATTATGGAATAGTGCAACACAATTATTCATAATATTTATCTTTCTAACAACAATTATCACAAATAAATTGATTTATTGAATGTTACATATATTATTGTTACTCTTAATAAACAAAATTGAACATCAATATAAGTTTTAAAATATTGCCCAAAAAAAAAAAAAAAAAAAACTATAAAAGATGAAAAGCAGATAAATTCAGCATATATATATAAATGAACCCATGGCATTAGTGCATCAATAATTAAGTGTTTGATACATATTTTTTGCCTTAATTGACCTCGGACATCACTAAAACATCAATAATTAAAAAAAGTTTGATACGTACATCACCCATTCTCCTCTAACTTCATCGACCTTCGCATTTGTGTATATTTCTTTTCCCATGAACTATAAAAGATTAAAAGTAGATCAATTCAGTATATATACATGAACTACTAAAAATGCATGCAAATAAAAACATATAGAATGAAATTGATCAACAAACTACTCTTCATGAGCACACATCTCAGCTACAGAATTCATCACAAAATAAATAAATAAATAAATCCCTTCATCCCTGCATCTTAACTTCAGCAACTACTCTTCAACTCAATAAAAGTTCCATACAAAGGAGTAAAAGTGACAGCCCTCAACAACATAACTCATCTCAGCTCCCCAGTAAAGCAAAATAGAAACTAGCAACAACCATCTACACTTCACTAGTAGGAACTACCAAAACAAACCATCTAATATTTAACAATAAAGCTACGGACACGGGCATTTTTGCATCGAAAATATGTACCGGCCTACGTGTCTCCTGACTCACACCAGCAATCCAGACGCGTTATTAAATATTTTTCTAGTGAACGGCTGTCCATCAAATATGGACAGCCGTTCACTTACATGGACTCCCGTCCATATTATATGGACGGGGGTCCATTTACTACGGACGGGCATCCCCATTTAAAGGACGCCCGTCCATAAGTAAAATGGAATAAAATATTTTTATAAAAATTAGGGACGACCGTTCATAGGTTATGGACGGCTGTCCCTAAATATTGGATGGGCGTTCATATTTTAATGGGCGCCCGTCCATTAACATTTTTTTTTTAAATTAAAAAACATTTAGGGACGGACATCCGTAAGGAATGGATGCCATCCATTCCTTGTGGACGCCCGTCCAAACGTAAGGGACGTCCGTGCTTAACCAAAATATGAAAATAAAAAAAAATAAAAAAGCTTTGGGGACGCCCGTCCACAAACTCTGGACGGCCGTCCCTTACGTTTGGACAGGCATCCATAAGGAATGGACGCCCATCCATTATTTTGGTTTTACAAAATACAAGAAAAACTTCAATGCGCCAATTCCTTTGCTTTCTCTCTGTAAATTCTTCCTTCTTCTTCAACTATCACCAACTTCAACGCCTCCGCCACCGACTTCCGTGTCTATGCTCCATCTTCTTCATTTCTCGCTATCTCTATCCCCGTCTTCTTCTCGACAAACACTCTAGCAATCAACCCTTGGTCCATGGAGAAAGGTAGCAAAACCAATGGATGTCCAAAGTAAAGCGACTCTGTAATTGAACTAAATCCATAGTGAGTCAAGAATGCTCCCACCGATTCATGAGCTAATATCCTAAGCTGAGGTGCCCAACTCATCCAGACCACTCCTCTTCCCTTCACTCTTTCCTCGAACCCATCTAGAAGAACTACGTTTCATCCCGATTTCTCAACGCCCAAAAGAACGGTAATCCAGATAACTTGAGCCCCAAAGCCAACTCAGTCAACTCATTTTGACTCAAATTCAACTCGCTTCCAAAGGCAACATAAATAACTGTCTTTCTCTTCTGTTTCCCTAACCACTCGCTAATTTCATAATGTTAGCGTGTCTCTCGTGAGAGAAGACTCTTTACTAACAATGGCCATGCCTCCTACGAGTCAGGGTGGGTTTCTGTTCCATTTCGTCAGCCTTCTACTTTCCAAACCTTAGCACTTGAACCTAAACTCAAGAAGCAGATAATGGACGATTTAACCGCGTTTTCTAATGGCAAAGAGTTTTACCAGGATCTGGAAAATCAAGTTTAATTGCTGCCATGGCTAACTACCTTTGCTATGATGTATATGATCTTGAGCTCACCAAAGTTACAGACAATTCAGAGCTAAGAGCATTGCTTATACAAACTACAAACTGTTCAATCATTGTAATCAAGGATATAGACTGCTCGATTGATCTAATAGCGGACAGAATGTCGACGAAAAGATCACATTCACACCCATCAAAAAAGCACATGGAGTCACGATATGATGATGGAGAAGAGAATGGAAGGGTTACACTTTCAGGGTTGTTAAATTTCACTGATGGTCTATGGTCATGCTGTGGAGAAGAGAAGATAATAATATTCACCACAATTCATGCATTAATATATTAATGTAATGATTATGATAAGGAAATAATATATTAATGCATGAATCAAGGTTCTTTTTATTTATTCTCTCTACAGCAATGGCAAATAAATTTTGATGGTATAACGTGCTAACTCTGCTATCTGAAAGCTTTAGTGAGAATATTATCCCATGCAAATGCTTAGAAATTTCTTAAGAGGAGAGAGCTTTAACGTGACTAGTGTCTGATCCTCTATTGGATATTGATAATTTGTTCAGATATTCATTTGAGTTTTTTGTTTATGCCCCTCAGAATTCACCGAAAGATGAACCTGGTGTGCTCAAAGCAATTCAAAATGTTCATGCAATGATAGACAAGGAAGTAGCTGCTGGAATAGATCCAAAAAATCTTGTTGCAGAAGAAGGTTAAATGATCAAAAGCAAAGAAGAAGTATGCTGAACTGGAAATAAGAGCTATGAGTATGTGCTTTTTGGACAGCCGTCCATATACTTTGGACGGCCGTCCATATTAACTGGACGCTAGTCCATAGAATTTGGACGGGCGTCCATTGTTTTTTATTTTTATATTTATATTATGGACGGGAGTCCATTCTACGGCCGTCCATAATAGATGAACGGTCGTCTATAAATGTTTTTTAATTTTAGAAAAAAAAAGTTGTTAATGGACGGGCGTCCATTAAAATATGAACGCTCGTCCTATATTTAGGGACAGCCGTCCATAACCTATGAACGGCCGTCCCTAATTTTTATAAGAATTTTTTATTCATGGACAGGCGTCCTTTAAATAGGGACGCTCGTCCGTAGTAAATGGACCCCAATCCATATAATATGGACGGGAGTCCACGTAAGTGAACGGCCATCCATATTTGATGAACGGCCGTTCACTAGAAAAAAATGAAAACAACGTGAAACATGTCTGGCTTGCTGGTGTGAATCGAGGAACACGTAAGCCGATACAACATTTCGGTGCAAAAATCCCGGTGTCCGTAGCATTTTTGAATATTTAATATTTGACTATAGTCTAGTAGCAAAACCATCAACATTGCTAGTAGAGACTTGTTGAATATCCGCAAAAAGTTAACAGATAATAGACGACAAAGTGATTCGAGGGCAACATGCAGTAATACATCACCATGGTTAAAATTAGATGCAATTTCAGAATTCACTCCAGCTAGAAAAAAGGCAATAGTGTTTGCAAAATTACGTTATCCTGAATTCAATTGTGGAAGTGGTTTACCTTCTAAATAGGAACTTCATGTCGCTTGCACCATGCAACTGTGATCCTAGGGTCGAGGTAATTGATCTTGGATGTGCCCAATGCCACAGTTTTTAAATCCGCTTTGGTCTTCATATCTAGTTCTGTTTTTTAAATCTTCGCATTGGTTTGAGCTATCTTCCTCTCTATCCTGTTTATTAAATCATAAACAATAATTTAATATCATAAGAAAATGCATTAAGAGCCCAAAAAAATGGTTGCCAGTTATATTACGCTTTAGGGGCCAGGTTCCTCTTTCACTTTCCATCAGAATCCTTCAATGGGGGCTTCCCTTTTCTAGCCCTGTCCAAATCAATTTTCAGGTCCTTCAGAACACCTTACAAGCAAAATTACAGTCAGTTCCACCACTGCAAGTTCTGAGAGGAACCAATGAAGTTTCAAAAAGCATGTTCAGAAGGGGCTTGACTTGGCAGCATCAAGTACCAACCCAACACAAAGAATACAATAGATCCCTATTTTTCATCAGGCAACCAAAAACTAAATATTTCCACCAACGATATTTCTCAACCATGAGAGCTCTAAATTTCCCATTGATCTAGGAGTGGTCATTAGCTCTTCCATTTTCTCGGTCAACCTTGTCATTTCCCATTGATCTAGGAGTGGTCATTAGCTCTTCCATTTTCTCGGTCAACCTTGTCATCTGTGCACCATGTGTTTTGGAAACAATCCGCTGATGATTACAAATAATTGCAACCTACAGCCAGGAAAAAGCCATATTTATTGATGCCATAATGGTTATTCATGATAGGCATCATCAGCATTTGCCAAGTAATTCTTTTTCAGTACCCGTCTTTACCCCTTTGTTTGAATTGTTATAAACAACAATCTTTTCCGCAACATCACCTTCTTTAGTTCTCCTACTCAACTGTAAAAAGGCAAAACAATATTCAGAAGGAATTATATCATAGCAGGAAATTGAACAAGAAAATCCTATAAAGATCAAGCTAGATAGAAATACTAAACAATCTGTCAAATCATGAAATGATAAAAAAAAGGTTCGATGACGTGGTTAAGTGCCAAGCAAAACATAAGGCCTAACTTCTAATGGCTTTTAATGCTATTACTTATTCACAAAAATATTTGAAAATTTTCATAACACAATTATATGCCCACAGTAATCATGTTTTGCAATAACTTCTTTCCCACACATTAACTCGGTAAACCATTGATATCTAGTCAATGAACTCACAAAGAAATTCCAGTCTCCAGCTGACAACTTACCATATCATCCAATGTGATCAAGGCATTATATGTGTGGAAAACTTTTGCTGTCAGGCCAGGCATGAGTTCCTTCAGATGAGCATTCAGTTTAGCTGTATCCAGCTCGTCGAAAAGATCATCATTTCGCTTCTTTCCTGGAAAAAAGAAAACACACGCATAAGCCCCAATAATAAAATAAAATAAAACATGTGTAACCCAAAGTGATTGGCAATTTACTCACCAGTTTGAAACTGCCCAATTGCCTTGTACACAGGAAGCTCAACTTCGACTGTGTTTACACGTTGAATTGAATCTTTACCAGGGAAGTCAAACTGATCGATCAAACAGGAATACACATATTAACACCTCTAGCTAGAAGCCTAGAACAGGTACCGATTGCTCTCAATCATTCAGCTCATAGCTTTCCCAATCTTGTATTTATAAAATAAAATTCACTAATGTTTAATCTTGTGAGACATGAGCACCCATACCTTTAACTTATTTGCAGGGATACACTCTACATTCCCCACTTTCAATGTACAGCAACCAACAATATCAACTTCATCATCATCCTGCAAAAGTCAACCAAAAAAAGAAAGAACCTTGATAACCTCCTATAAACAGTGCAAATGAGAAAGTTGTCTGACTAACAGCTATCAGAATTTGGGCAGCAAAAATGCAGAAGAGATATGCAAGCACCACATATAGAACTGTGGCACATGTTCCAAGAACGCTCAAAGAAAAAAAAAAAAAAAAGCAGCCAAAAATTAGAAAAGCACAAGGTATCCAACGCTTCAGACAGTAGATAAATACGCATTCGATCCCAAATTAACAATGACAAAAAGAATTGAATATAACTTAAAGCAATCCAAAAGCACAGAAACAAAACAAGGTTAAAATAGTTCAGCTTTTATCTAGTTGAAACAGAACCAATATGTAAATAGAACTCAATTTGGAAAAGCTGGTTGCAAAGTAAAAAGGCACAGAAGGAATAATGAATGATACTCATCATAAAACTTGGTGCTGCTCATAACATCTTTACACCCAGGAAAAAGACCAAACCTCTACACCAAAATCAACAACATTCACAACATCCCCAAGTAAGAAACCCATGTTTTATTCAAATTCATCAAATAACTAACATGCACAAATAAATAAACAAAAACAAACCTGTAAAATCGGGTGAGAACGAAGAATATTGGAAAAGGATTTTTGGTGAGAACGAAGAATCGAAGAGAGAATGAAAAGAGGAAAATAATTTGGGGTAGAGAGAAGGAAAAGTTTAAAGGGAAAATGATTTCGTGCAGAGAAAATGAAAGTTCAACTATTTTTTATTTTATTTGATATTATAAACCTTTGCGATAATGAAAAATGGGTGGAAAACTTTCCCTAGCGAAATTTTTAATTTTTTTTTTTTTTTTTAACTTAATCCTTGATAGTTAGCTATAGATTATCTAGTATCGAGACTACAATTATCAAGAATAAAATTAGTAAATTTTATTGTTTACCAAATTCTTAACAATTAATAACCATCAACAAAAATATTAAAGAATATTTCAAATTATTGACAAATAAAAAAATATAAAGAATTTGTCAAAAATTAAAATTATAGACAGTTTTGAGAACGGTTAAGAAAATATGTCAAATTATTCTGTTAATGATGAGGTTTTTTCTAACAGTGCACAGAAGCCAAATATGTGTCAACAACAAGTTTTTGTGCACAACTTCATATTCATTGTGATAATAGAAGTGCTATTAATTTGTCTAAAAATCTTGTACATCATTTTAGAACAAAAAATAGAGAAATTAGACATCATTTCCTACGTGATCATGTTAGAAAGGGTGATATTGTGCTTGAATTTGTTAATACTGATTACCAATTGACTGATATTTTCATTTAGCCTCTAGCTAAAGAAATATTCTATACTATTCGGAGAGAGCTTGGAATGATTGATGCGAACCAGGTACGATTCATCATCCTATGATTGTTTATAATGTGAAATTGATAGATATTATATGTTTTGTGTGTATATTGAGTATATGCTTGAGTTGATTGTGATAACAGGCTTTATATATTGATTGTGTGATTGTCTTCGCATAAATCAAAGTGCAATAACTTTTACATAACCCTATTAGTGATGTGATCCATCAAATTGCAAAGATAAAAGGATTGGGATTATGAGTTGGGTACTTAAAATCTGATTTTGCAACAATCCGTATAGAGAAATCTATACGTGCTTCTCCAAAGGAGACCAATAAGGTACATTAGATAATAGACTTAAAAATCACCAAGTGGTATGCCTTTTCTCATGAAGATATGAGAACCTAGAATTGAAATCATGTGTAACAATCATTTGTAACTTGACATATGTGAAACATATCTTTATGAATTCTTGCATGAATTGTTTTGTGTTTATGACTGATAAAAAAAAAAAAAAAAAAAACTCAAGTTGATAAAATCTTGTGGTTACCATCAATTTGATATAATTTCTCATACATGAAAATTCTCCAAGTGATTGAAGTATCTAGAACATGTTTGTTTGATTATATTTTGATCGATGTGCATTAGAGTCAAAATCTTTAAACTTATTCCAGTTGGAACAATCATACCCCATAGTCATTCCTTGTCATTTGAGCGTTCAAGTATTTGCATGGCTTGTAACTACCATTAGTTTAGGTTTAAAAACCTAAGCACAACCATACCACTTTCGTGTACGACCGTGTAGAATCAAGTTGACCTAACCCTAAACATTCAAAGTTTTTAGAACAATCGTGCTAAATGAACCACACGACCGTGCTGCGTGATTTCTATAAATATAACTGTTCATTTTCTTTGGAACATGACGTTCCAAGTTAGTTTCGTCTCAAAAAAATCTCTCAAATCCTTTCCAAATCAATCCAAACCTTAGTTCTTTCCTCCTAAACCCTCAAATACATCAAGGAAAGATGAGAACCAAGAACATGGCAAGAGGTGATCGTTTACCAAGATCAGGAGACCTCCAAGGACCATATGGAGTTACATTCAAGATTCCAGTTCAAAAGAAGGAGTTCAATAGAATCGAGAAAAGAGGTATGAATCTTGGCAGAACTTTTGATTAGGCTATTCTTCGTGCATTAGGACTGGAAGAAAAATTGATAGAACTTATTGATAACTTGAAATGGAGAAAGTAGATAAGTCTTAGGTTTCCATGGTATAGGCATTTGATCAATGAGTTTTACATTAGTCTAGAAGTTGTTGAATCAGAAACGGAAGAATATCCTGATTATACAATGCTTTTTATCACTTCTGAAGAATTAGTAGAATGGTTAGAATGTGATTGTGACGGGATTTTGGATCCTCCAAGGGGATGGAGTTCTGAAACTGCTTGGCACTCAGTTGGAGGAACAGGACTTATGATCCTCATGGGTCAAAATCTACCAAGTTGTGTAATCCAGAGATGATGAGATTACTGTATCGATATATTACTTACTCTCTCAATGCTCGAAGAAGGTCAAATGGTCAAATTACGACCAAGGATACGCTGTTAATGGAAGCAATATACAACGGAGCAACCGTAAATACAATAATCCTGCTGATAAGGAAACTTAAGGAAATTAAAAGGGACTCGGGAGAGATCCCCATGGGCATGCTAATTACTTTCTTCTGCAACGAGCTGAATCTGCCATTGACTAATTTGGATGAAGAATAGAAGATAAATTTTGATGACTCAAACCTGTTTTCACATAATGCTTTACAAAGAATGGGAATGATTCGTGCAAAGAAAAATGGGCAGTGGGAATTGATTCCTACTGGAGGTCAACAAAGAAACGCAGATGCAACTGAATCATCAAGTGAGGAACCAGTTGACTCTCGAAAAAGGACGAGAATGAAGGTCGGATCAAGCTCAATGCCTTCACGTTTGGTAGATGAGATAGTGGACAGAATTGTATTGCACGATGCAAAATTTGAAAGGCTAAACAAGGATGTGACGGACAAGTTCCTACTTCTATCCAATCAAATTTTTGAAGTCTCTAACAACCTTCATGTCCTTCAAGCCTATATACCATCTCAACCTCCTCAACCTTAGCCAAATAAATTCCATATCTGTCTTTGTCTCATCCAAGTGTCAGGTTTTGTTTTTTTTGTTTTTGTTTTTGGTTCTCTTTATACACATGGGAAACAATTGTGTCTTTTGAAAACTTGAACTTATTGTTAATACTTAGTTTTTGTTCTCATGACGTTTATATTGAAATCTTTGTGATTTTTGTGCTTATTGGTATGTAATGCATTTCTTTTCATCACTCTTATCTGTCATTAGGATTATGTTGATATCTTTTTTCTTAATGACAAAAAGTGGGAGAGATAATGCATATTGAGTTTGATTGTGTGAGATATTGAAATATCTTTTGAAATGAATATGTTCTTTTTGATTGTGTGAGATATTGAAATATCCATTGAAATGAATATGTTTTTCTTCTTTGATCTTAAAAAAGGAGGAGATTGTTGAGCCCTTGTGTGTTTTGATGTGCAAAAACTAATCAAAGAGTTGATTGATCTAACAAACATGCTTAGGCATGACAAAGAGTCAAAACCAAAACAAAATGTAATTTTCCCTTTTGGAACGACCTTGCAGGATAAAGGAATGACTATTCCTTTGTATTAAATTTGCCTAGATGCACGTTTCTCTTAGCACAACAACATTATGTGTGATCGTGCGTGCTTCTGTCCAAAATGGAGCCAAGTCGCTCACACCAACATGACCAAAGCAGCACGCCCGTTCCATCTAAGTTCCATCTAAGTCAAAAGTCAAAGTTCTCAAAACCCAAACTCTTAGTGCCTTTGACGAATCATGGAAGACAAGCCTTCAATATCAAGTTGAAGATTCAAATTTCAAAAGCGGAATGACCATTCTCCGTGCTGGAATGACCGTTCACAACTTAAAGATCATTTTTGGCTAAAAGTCATCATTCCAGGTTGCCATTCATGCTATTGGAATTTTATGGATTTTAAGGAACCAATGGTTAGACCATTCCTCTTGGTAGAATGACCATTCGCGGTGACGGTACGACCGTTCCTTGTTGTGGAACGACCATACCAAAAATCCTAAAGCTGTATGAATTGATTGTTGGTGTCAAGAATAACCGTTCACGATAATGGAATGATCGTTCCCCTATGTCTGCAAGCTTTTCAGACATGCATTAAATGCAGCAATGACTCTTTGCAACCAAAGGAGAAGTCAAGCTTAAATAGATCACTTCAATGCTTAGAAAATGAGAGAGTATTTTAGAGATTTAAGTCATATCAAACATTCTCACATAATCCCTTGATCTCAAAATCCAAATCCAAGCATCACTCTCTTGTACCCATATGTAAACCTTTGACAATATTGTCCTTATTGTGTGTTCAAGCCTAAGTTAAGAGACAATCTTTCTCACACTTTTTATGAAACACTTTGTAGGCGAAATCCTGTAAATCTAGAGGCGAAATCTTGTCAAACTATTGTAAAGGCGAATCTTGTGAAAACTAGCGTAAAAGCGAAATCCGATTCTATTGGAACTTCAAGAAGTTTGCCTCGAAGAAGTGGATGTAGAGGGTTTGTGGATAGAGCTCCGACGGCTATAAATCTATGAGCATTTCTTATCTCTCTACTCATTTATTACTCATCTCATACTTACTTGAAGCGTCATTCTCATACTCATATTTAATGCTCACATTCTTATATACATCTCTCTCATTTATTGCTTATTACTGATTACCCATATTGTTTGAATCACTTTCATTCATTGTTTATCATTTGTTTAACATCATACATATTTATTGCATATATTTGTTGGTGTTAGGTGTCTATAACTTGCTTGGGTTGGTGATAGTTCTATTTCCGCAAATATTTCTAAAGTATCCCATTCAACCTCAAACCCCCCCAGTTCCCCGATCCCCCGCCCCCCTTTCTCGAACTATTTTGCCATATAGGGTTTGACAATCACCAATAACATAAACAATCTCTTTAACTTCGTCCGGAGTCACTAGGCGAGTCATATGGTCACACAAATGCTATGGGACTTTCTTGATAAACAAATCCTCTAATTCATCCATAAGGACCACCTGGGGAGCCGACCCAAGCATATTCTGAAAGTATGATAGAAAAACATTCCCCAACTCCGCACCCTCAACCAGCTCTTCTAAATCTGAAAGAATGTGATCCATCCTTCTCGAGTTATGGTAAGATCGTAGATATTTATAGAAAAAAGACGAGTTTTGATCCCCCACACTTAGCCATTGAATTTTAGACTTTTGTTTCTAGAATCTCTCATCA